ATTTTTTTGGAGGGGGACGGGATCCTGGAGGGCTCGACTTCCTGCCTTTTTTTACCTCCGCGGCTGCGGTCTCGTCCTGCTCTCTGGGAAGCTGACTGGAGCTGCTGCCCCGGACTGGGGAGCTACGCTGGAGACCTGGTCCGAGAGCTCTCGCAGCTGAGAGAGAGTGAGGCCTGGGGCTGTGGGAAAGCCCTGCTGCAGGAGCCGGGAGATGAGGAAGTCTGCCTCTGTTGATAAGCCGCTGTGGGGAGCCGAACCGGGATCGGAGACTTCCAGAGAAGGTTCGTGTTCCGAATTGTCCGAGTTGGACATCTTGAGCTAATTGTTTCTTACGTTTTTTTCTCACGAGAAGGAGTATTGTATTGCAACTACCATTGCGTGTGATCATCTGCAATGACAACTGACAGGGAGGAAGAGCAGGCATTTAAGGAATTTAGCATGTGCAGCGATTGGCTGCTGAGGGGTGACACCCTCGTATTTAATGAGGGGGGAAGGGAGCCATAGAGTGACGTGTAAGTGACTCGTGTTAGGTCTTCCTTATTGAACTTGCGCTAAAGCTTTCATATCTACATTTCTTACTTTCAAATTCATATCCCTTCATTTATATAAAACACACTTTTTTCTGTGGTATTAAAGATGCTGGATCAGAAAGGGACAATGTATCTCTTGGTAATTGCTACAAACAAATTAGTTACTTTGCAGAAGAAAGTAACTTTTGCATTCATATTCTTCAGACATTTCTACATTGGTACGTTGACATTTCTACATACAAATACAACAACCTCATTCTCTCGGAGGGGACCAATTGACTGTCTTAAATGTCTGGATTTCCATCTTTCTGTTTGGTGGGAGACCTTTTTTCTTAGCTTCATTGCACTTTTCCTTCTTGTAGCACATCGGATTAAAGACTGCTTTCCCAGTCCTGTGAGGCTCCCACTAATATAATGTCAAATTGATCTGTCAGCCAGAGGCCCTCTGAATCTGGGACACTTTCTACATCCCCAAGGCAGGATTAGTCATTAAAATGCTGCACTACATCTGCGCAGCAACTGGTGGCTGCCCCTGGTTGAGCTCGGAATTATTATTTTTTTTTTTAAAACTAGCAGATGGGCTGTAAACCTCTTTCAACATTTTCAGAATAAATACCATCCTGCCCAAAACGTACAACTCTGGAAACAGCCATGAATATTACATCTTCTACCCGTGGCTAATAGCAAAGCATTTCTATTGTGTGAATGTGACCTACAGATGATGTGTGTTAATCATTTTTGTTGCGTTCCCCTGACTGAAAAAGGTATTGTCGTCTAAAGTGTGTGGCAGGAATGTGACACGTATCCCCCGCAAGCACCCGATACGACTGTCAGGGATAACATAACAATCTTTGTAGGCTTGACAAAAACGTGAATCAACTGACGCCTTTGAATGTATCCCATGGGCTTTCTCACAGCTGGTGTGTGCCTTTGCACTCTCAAAGGCCAGAGGGAGAGAGAACTTCAGAGACCTGAGCGGTGATCATTGGGAACGTCTAGAATGATGGATTCAAAGACATGTCTTCGCACATTTATGCGCTCACACAAAGCCAGCTAATGATCTGTGGCATATGGACAATTTATCTTATGGCATAGAGATCATTTCCTAATCAGACTAGTGGCCCCTAAGGCAGCCATGCTGAATGGCTTTCGAACACTTGCAGAGATGTCAAGGGTGAATGATGCACATAAAGCCCAAGAAGGACTCCATAAGCTATCATGTTTTTTATTGCATTTGTATTGACAAGTTATTGCATTTATAGTGTAGTACCTTCAAAATCAATGCATGTCTAATTCTAAATGACATTTTTAGAACACTTAGGTCTTCATTATCTCATCATGGACAATTTATACTCAGCTAGCTGCGCGCATCAGCGATTCTCTTGCACATGAAGCATAAAACATAAACACCTATGGCATACCATACTGATTTTCACACAATTTACTCTGTGTGCTTAAATAACTCTGTGTTATCGATCAATTAAAAAGAGACAAAACTCTAATTTGCTTCAATCATTGCATAAATCTGTCGCTTTTCCTTCATTGCAAGACACAAATCAGAGGAACACAACGATACCATGAGAGTCGCACTCTCAGAAAGGAAAATGGTTCTTCATTACATTACATGCTTTTATCCAAAGCGACTTACATGCTCAATAGCTTGGTTTCAGTCACGTGACTTCTATGACGCGCGAAATTCAAGTGGAGGTCAGGAAGTGAAAACGCAATCATTCAACAACGCAGGAATCATGGAGGACACCGACTATGTCAAACAATTAAATGAACCTGCACGCCGCAGATATCGTGAAAAAAATCACAGCACACATCGGATACGATCCGTATCAGCTGAAAAAAAACGACTTTTCTCGTGATTTATCCGATTTGCCCGCTGTCGAGGCGATGGATATCACCAGCTACCTCGTCCTTCATACCTCCTACTACACGGCTAGCCAGATGAAATTGTATAAAAGCCTGGAAGCTTTCAACTACTTTCGTGTGTGGATGGGTGAATGACCTCGGCACCAAAGAGGCATTAAACAAATGTCGCCTTGTTTTTGCCCGGGTGAGTGTTAACTACCTATACCTTCTTACCTCTAAGTAGCATTATTAGGAGACATCTAGCTAGCTAACTTTAGCTACATGGACTCATGTAAGGCAGTGTTACGGCTGTCGCCTTGCCTTCAGCATTAACTGGCCTGTGAGTGTGTTGTGTGTGTATATATGTGTATGTTTGTTATGTGTATGTGTTTAGCTTAGGATATATTGTGTTTTGTGTGTATAGACAGCTCAGAGCCTTTGAACATCCTGCACGTTGTTTATATCACTCTATGTTGAGGTTAATATTAAAAACAACCTCTTTACCAAGACCATCTGGTTATGTGTTGCTTGTGATGTTGTTAAATGTATGTTACCAACTCGCAAGTTGTGAACTGGAGCTTCAATTGTGTAGGTCAACCATTCCCAGAGGTCTGGAGAAACACCATTAAAAACGTGGATTGTAGCTAAAGAAGATGGAGAGGTTGTTACAGCACACTGTAACTGTATGGCTGGGTAAGTCATAAAATAAATATCCCAACCCAAAGCATATTTGACACAACACTTAAGCTCAGACAAAATAATGCCTGCTATAATATTCATGTTATACCATTACTAGCTTTTACGATCAATCTAGTTATTCTAGTATGTCTCTGTCTATACAGTTTGTCAGAATCCTGCTCACATGTTGGAGCAGTTCTGTTTGCAATCGAAGCAGGTGTGAAGATGAGAGAGACTGCATCCTGCACCACTGAGAAGTGCAAGTGGCTAATGCCATCACATGTCAAAAAGGTATTCAGACCCCAGTGGTCAGTCAGCTGTTCATGCCGTCCTTGCCTGTCTCATTGTTACACTGTTACACTGTCTGTCTCTCACATGTGCAGATTCCTGCTGCTCCAGTTGCGATGATAGACTTTTCATCCGCAAAATCCAAAAAGCAAAAACTGGATGATGCCATTGCTGGAAGGACAGGTGAGAAGCACACATTTCAGCGTCCCACAGTCCAGGGTTCAAAATTGGAGCGAGGATCAGAGAGGTATATGCAGTTTTTCAAGACTTTGAGCAGAAATTCCCCAAGCAGTGCTGCACTGATGTCCAGGGAACCATATTACAGAGAATTTGTCCCTAAATCTGTGAGCAAGCTACCTAAACCACTACCTCAGTATAGGACACCAGAGATGCTACAGCTATCCCCAACAGAGTTGCAGAATGCATGCCAGGACTTCAGACAGGAAGAGCTGACACAGCCACAGGTCCAGGCAGTAGAGGAGGAGACCAGAAACCAGAGCTTATCAGCAATATGGTTTAGCCAAAGAGCAGGAAGGATCACAGCCTCAAGACTGAAGCAGGTTCTACAGACTAGTCTTGCACAGCCATCAAAGTCCTTGATCAAGTCCATATGCTACCCAGAGGCATACAAGTTCTCTACAGCTGCAACAAGGTATTTATTAGGGATTAGGGAGCCAATCAGAAAAGCAAACTGTATACAGTTTTTCTCAGACGCGGAGGGATACCGACTTGTTGTGAAAAGTAACTTACAATTCTACCCATGGTATACGCTGATTATATCACGTATATCAGTAAGTTACAGTACAAGTAACTTATAACTAAATTCATTATCATTACAAAACATGATTCACAAAATATTCAATGCATAAAAATAGTGTGTGTGTGTGTGTGTGGTGTGTGTGTGTGTGTGTTGTGTGTGTGTGTGTGTGTGTGTGTGTGTGTGTGTGTGTGTGTGTGTGTGTGTGTGTGTGTGTGTGTGTGTGTGTGTGTGTGTGTGTGTGTGTGTGTGTGTGTGTGTGTGTGTGTGTGTGTGTGTGTGTGTGTGTGTGTGTGTGGCAGGTATGGATGCAAATACGAGGCAACTGCCCGAAAGCAGTATGAAGGAGTACAAAGTCTGCACCACCAGGGTTTCAGCTGTAAAGACAGCGGGCTTTGGCTGAACCCTCAATGGCCATACATGGGAGCGTCGCCAGACGGATGTGTCACGTGCACCTGCCATGGAACTGGTATCTGTGAGATAAAGGTAAGTTATTTGTTCAGTATTGTGCTACAGTAAAGCGGGTAAGTATAGGGGTAAGTATAGGATTGTGACGTGATCCTGAGTCTGGGGATCCTCTCCCAATACATTTTGAGCTGCAGACACTTATTTACAGTACAATATATTACTTTTCTTTTCATTGAACTTTTAGTGCCCACACAGCAAACAAGAGGAGGCCAATCTTTGCCTGTGTGCTGGAGAACAGGGCTTCTGTCTCGTCAACGATGGGGGCACTGTGAAGCTGGACAGGAGACATGCCTACTACCATCAAATACAGGCTCAGCTCCACCTCGTTGATGTTGACTACTGCGACTTTGTTGTCTGGACTAAAAATGACCTCTTTGTAGAGAGAATTGTGCGTGATGTGGACCTGTGGGACAACATCATTCCCAGAATTGAGCGTTTCTTCAGACTATGTGTTCTCCCTGAAGTGTTGGGACAGCAACTTACAAGGGGAAAGGTAAAAGTCATAAAGAGTTGGTGTGCTCATTTTTTTCCACAAGAACATGTTAGTGCATAACTATCAGGTGACTAAAAGCCTCCTCTCCCTGTCTGCTGTTCCATTTTTCAGTTTCAGTTGCAAGATGATCAGGAGGGAGAGAAGGCGTGATTACCAGCACCTGTGGTCTGTCCTGGTCCCGGAAGTTGTGGTTCTCTCCTTGTTGCATTATTATTACGTGCCGTAGTGGGTGCTGGTGTTTGGGTGTGTGTGGGTGTCTTTTTCTCTCTCCCTCTGATCTCCCCAGGTGCTCCCAATCTCCAATCAGCGCCTCCATATAGGACATGAGGAAGGTTGCAGTCGCTCTCCCCTTATCTTAAGCTTTGTTTGACAAGTTGGCTGGTGAGCCCTTTTTCGTTGTGTTAATTAAAAGACCACTTTATGGCGTCAGAGATCAGTTTCCTCTCCTTTTTCTCTCGGCCGGTTATGTTGTGTGTCGCTACTTCCCTTTGTACCCCTATATTTACAAGGGAATGTAACATTTGCACAGTGGCAGCTCTTTAACCTGCATTACAGCACCTTCATATTCACTGACCACACTCACTAGAGGAAGTAGGGCTGTGTGATATATTGTTATTGTAAAAAAGATGTTTACTGAAAATATTAAATGATACTAAGACTGAATAATACATGGTTTCTTATTTACATTTACAATAACCCTCAATGGCCATACATGGGAGCGTCACCAGACCAATTGTCATCTCTAGAATATTGTTGAATGAATTAAGCCTGAATGTAGATGAAAGTTGTATATTGAGTAGGGCTACACAATTTTCAACACAAAAAGATGTTTACTGAAAAGACTTGAACACAAGATGTTTGAACACAAAAAGATGTTTACTGAAAAGACTTGAACACAAGATGTTTGAACACAAAAATATGTTTACTGAAAAGATTAAATGATACTGAATAATACATGGTTTCTTATTTACAAGACTACAGCTCCATGACTTTACTCCAATGGGACGACAGACACTGACAGATTAGACAAGGCACAGCAAATAACCCCAATCTTGTCAATTAATGCTAGTGCCTCACCTGGTTTTGTTAGCATGTGCTCTATGGGCACAGCCCTGCTTTGCAGAATCTGATATTTTCTTCTGACTAATCCTATGACTCTTTCAACATGAATACGCACATTAGCTATTTTTCTTGTCTCTTCCACCTCGTATGCTGACAGCTGACTTTTCCCCCTGGTGAATGCAGGCATCTTTAGTGAAGCACAGTAAAATCCCACACTATCGGCAATATCGAACCCACGGTCTGCTAGGACAATATCTCCAGGTAACAGGTTTTTTAGGAGCCCACTCTGTATTGTGATCTGTTTATCACTAACTCTTCCTCCCCAGGCACAAGATATGTAGGTAACATAGCCTTGGGGAGCAACACCAATCAGACATTTAACAGTATGGTGATGCTTGTAGTTGGACCATGTTTGTGCTCTAGCTAGTAAATTAGAGGGCCTCTCAATAAAAACTTCAAAACAGTCAACAATCACAGCAACTCTACATCCAAATGCCTGTCTGAATCCCATTGGCATTGTAGCTTGAAGTACATGTCGCTCTGGCCACTCAATTATAAATTCTGTACTCTCGTGAAGTATGTCAATTAACTTATGCCAAATTCTAGAAGCAGTGGAGAGAGAGATGTTGAACCTGAAAGCCAAATCTTTCAGAGGGAGATTTAGTCTCAGCCTCAGCAAAACTAAAATGAACTGTTCAAATTTGGAGAGCACAGACATAGGGCCACAGGTGATGTAGGGCTCGCACAGTTGAAAAACCTGAAGTAAAACTAAGAAGTTGGGGAGCCCGGTGTAAAACTTTGTTTTCTCTTCGTTGTTCTCAAAGGACTCCTGGTTGAACTTTGTGTCCAGTGCCTTTGTCCGAAGATCTCCCAGCTCTGTTGTGTTCTGTCTCAGAACATCCTCCATCCTCTCGATGTCCTCCATCGTTAAATCAGTCTGGCATCCTGCATCTGCATACAATATAGCAGTAGCAAGCATAATTAGTTATTTAAAATAGTCAAATATGAATGTGAATTTTTGTGAAGTTATCTTTTTGACAACCTTTTTACAGACATGCAAGTTCTCTGTTCCAATTATTGCAGATTCTCAAATTAGTGCTCTATTTTCTAAACCTAATTCAAAGTTTGCATTGATTTTCTGACAATCAGATTTGTAATATTTAATAATAATGCTGGTGGTTAATTTACCTTGTTGGTCATTTAATATCCCACTGGTGTCCTCTGGTTGTGGGCTGTCAGACGGGGGCTGCGTCGGTTCTGGGCTCTCGGTTGTCTGCAGGAGATCCAACAAAGCCTCTGCACATTCTGTTTGTCTTTGTTGGTCTTCCTTGAGCTCCATCCTCTGCTCTCGTCGAAGAGATGCCTCTGATCTGGGCTTACTTGTTGTGTGGTAACCGAGGCTAACAGTGGGAGCCAGCCCAGTCTACCGACTCAACGTCACCCAAAGCGCTAGGGCACCCTAAAAAGTCCCAACAAAGTCCATATTAGACTACAGGTAACTTAAACATGATCAGTATTACTAAGTAAATACGCATTTAACCACAACCCAATAATACCTAAACAAAGCCACAAAAACCAAGTTAGCTAATACCTCTGATGAAGTGGTCGCTGCAGACCCGTGCATTAGACGACTCTGCTCCTCCCGACCGCAGATGTAGGTTTGAAAGCCATTTTTTTCCGGCGTTCTTCGGTTAGCTTCTTAAATTGCTCAGCTTTATGGACGACAACCTTCGGCACTCGGTAAAACCTCTTGTTTTTCTCTCGGCCGGATCGATTGGAACAACCGTAAACTACACAACACACCGGCATTTTCACAATGGTAACAGCAGCTAGATCCTCTGTAGAAAATTACTTCCTGACCTCCAATGGAATTTCGCGCCAAAGGATCGCAACGGTGTGACGTCACGTGAAACCAAGCTATACTGTGGAAAATCCCCACAGGAGCAATTTGGTGCTGTCTGGTGTCTTGCCCAGGGACACAACGACATGCTGACTGCAGTGGGGTTTGAACCTGTGACCCCCTGATCCCAACACCAAGGCTCTATCCACTACTTTTAAACACATGTAGTGGAGTAAAAGTACACCATTTACCTCTGAATTGTAGTGAAGTAGAAGTACACAGTAGAAAAATATGGAAACACTCAAGTGAAGTACAAGTATCTCAAAATACAGTACTTGAGTAAATGTTCTTAGCTACTTCCCACCTCTGTGTATACGCTGTATGACTTCTGTACCACTGCTCACAGAAGTGTAGTTACTAATTACAACATGCCCATTCGTACAAGAGTCGTTTAACAACTTATTTAAATTACTGTTGTCAATCGGATGTATAACACATGGCTGTTGACATTGATTAATATAATAACGTGTATTTAACCTAGACACGATAGCATTAGCAATGCTGGCTTGCTAACTTTATGCAGACTGAAGTTGCCGACCGTAATGTAAAAGTTGACGCCAAAACGACGGTTGTAAAAATGGATTTTATGACTGAAAACGGGAAAATAGAAACAATAGTATTGTTACTTACTCTGAATACCTCTGATGCGCCTCGCGATTTGTCCACTGTCAACCAAAAGCGTGAGGGGGGCGGGTTCGACAATGGACAGCGAGTATCATGATTGGGTGATAGATTGGATTTTGACAGACGGTCCTGCGCCTTGCGCCACACGCCCCTTTCAGTGAGTTAAAGACAAGCCTTAAGAGAATAACTACACACTGCTACTGAAAACATCTCCCACACAGAACAAAAACTGGATTTTATTATGTATTTAAATATGATTGGACATTAAAAAAAGGTTAATAGTTTTAAAGAGGGTTGCTTATTTATCAGGAGAGCAGTTACACTTGTGGTTATTGCAAACTGTAAAATCAATATGCTTTATTTTTAATAGGAGGTGAGATGTATGGAAAAGTTCAGGAAATATACGTGTGCATTGGGGAGGGTGGTGCTTGATTGTCAGAAAAGTGATGCAAGTTATTGGATGGTGTGTTTGGGGTTCCGGTTCCTATTGCTGAGACCAATTGAGAAAATGTCAAGAGTATGGAAGGGTGGGGAGTTTCGGCAGATTGTGAGGATCTGTTCAACTCTGGCTCCTGGATAACCTTCTACCTGAAGGATGGGAATATTGGTTGCCTATTATGAAAGGCCCTAAGTAAAAGATAAAATCAACAATGGAATGTTATTTCTCGTAGCACATACACATCTTTGAAAGAGATGCGAATATTTTGCAGATGATCCAATAGTTTCCTATTCAACTGTACTTGTTATTATGGAACACTGTACTTAGGGAATATGTAATAGTTACTAAATGAATTGGGAAGCAATGTTGCATAATTGTCACTTAAATTCTCTGGATAACTTTGTGAAATAGTAAACAGGTCAAACGCATCCAAGTTTTAATTTATTTGCTGCTGTTTCCCAAATATCAAATGATGATTCATTTTCAAAACACATAGATGAGACACAAAGAAAGAAATACTAAATTAAAATAGTTTTAACACTGCTCAGTCTTGGCTCAGGGTTAGCGCACTCTTGGTGTAAATCACTCCATTAGCTAGATGGTAAACAAAAGAAAACAAAGTGTTGCATCAAGTTGAGCTTGGCTCTCTTGCAGATGAGGTAAGCAGCTTATCTGCCTTGGAATTAAAGGGATTTTCTTTTCCATGGGCACATTCATTAGCACAGTTAATAAGCAACTTTGGAGTGCCATCAGAGGAGTGATTTGGATTAAGAAAATCTATGAAAAGTCCTGCTATTATAGTTGCAAAGAAGAAATTACTTTAGAAGGGAGAAGTTGTGGATAATTCAGTGGAATCTGATTTTCAAAGGTCCGTTTCAAGTACTTTAGTGATTTGAATCTACCCATCTATTGCTCTCAAACCTCACCACCCGCCCTAAATCAATATTAGTCTCATTCAACAAGTTAAAACCCTTGTTAAAGGATTTAGTGGGTAATGGAACTGGTAACTCCTGACAGCTCCTCCTGTGTGTTGGCTTGCAGTATAATGAATCCCAGCAGAAGGGCAAGGTATTTACCCTAGCTGCAAGGCAGCGGCCGTCCATCCTGCAAACAGCTTTGCTGCCACACTGAAGCCCCAGTAATGAGCTGACAGGTGCAATGTTTACACTCGGGTTGCCACTCAAGTTTGAGGGGCTGATACTCGCTTTAGTCTCTTCTGACATTAATTATGCCAGCCAAATGGCTCACCTTTCCATTGAGTGTCACATATTTCTTGCAAAGATACTGAAACACTTTGATTCCAATTCAAATGATGCTGCATATTTTTCCTTGTGAATGCAAAAAACATTTGACGCTGTGCTGGGCAGAAACTATCAGTGTAAATGTCAAAGCAGTTCTGCAAAAACAAATT